CTGGAAACTTAACTTTGGTTTCCCCACGTGCCGCTTCCCAATACTCAGCTGATCATATAATAGTTGTTTCGGTATCCGCATTAAATCCATACGGCTCACATGACCGAGGCATCTCAGGTGTCGCAGTAAAAGTATGCAGTCCACTGCATACATCCCAATTTGTCGCAACACTTCCGTGTCAGCAAATCTGTTGCCCCCAACCGATGCTGATGGAACCGCTCGATATATCGCACATCTCGCCGGTACATTGTCCACGTTTCACTGCCGTATAGAAGAACAGACAGCACCATGGATTTGTACCCTTTCAACTTCGTGCCAATGGTAAGCTGATGGTTGTTCCACACTCGGTACTCTAGCTTCCCGAATGCCGCCGCTGCCTTGGACATGCAAATATACACAGCTTTCTGTGTAGCTGCTTATGAGCCGACATCACACTCCCAAGGTAGCAGAAGCGGGAGGGGGTTTCCAATACTTGAGCACCAATACTGTTTCGCGGCAATATTAAAGATTTCACCTCCGGTGAAGACTGAAAGAGACAGACAGTTTTGCTTGTGTTGATGATGAGCCCGAGTTTGGGCAATAGGGGTCAAGTGTGGGAAAATGCCAACCGATGGGAGGTCGGCAGTTACTCATCTTTTTGATAGGATAGTGGTGCCTCGTCAGAAACTTAATTCCGTCAAAGTGCGGTGCAATCTTCGTTTAGACCTACGTCAGAGTCAAAGCATCAGTCAAGTTACGCTTCTGTACATTTGTCGGTACGTTTGCTGCTTCAGATGCTTAAGTATGTGAAATGTGCAAAGCTTCTGCGACCTTCAGGAGGAAGACTTTTCCGAATCCTCCGCCATCGATCCAAAGCATCCGTTGCTTGTTGCTCTGGCTGAACCACAAGTTTTAGGATTCTAGGGCCGCATCCTCTATAATTTGGTGAGAGGTATCCAGGTAAGCGATAGCACCACAATATTATCTAAAGAACATGTTTCACGAATGAACTGCCACTGTTCTAATTCGTGCTTTCCGTTCTCTTGATCATCGTTAGAAGGATGTTCTGACACTCCAAGTATGAAGATTGTGTTTAGTCGATCTTGCTTGCTTTGTCCCTCTTCGGTGTTTCTTTTTGATTGTCGCGCGCTCTAGGGGACATCAGGATAGATGCGTATCCCGCAAGAGCCGTGTTTTAGCGCGCTTGCGGTGAGCAAAACGTTTTCTACCTCGTTGGAGAATTCTAGTGCTACTCAAATAAGTCTGAGTTCTCCATAGTATGGCGAGTAATTCGTAATAAGTTTGTGGGCTTGGCTTTGATACTCATCAGCACGCACATTGAGTTCCATTGGTCTTTGTCATCCGATAACTTATCCCGCAATGTGATGGCGGTAGATTCAGGGACATGTGAGCATACAACAGTCCGGGCACTATTGTTGGATCTACAAGGTAGGGTAATCGTTTGTTCTGACCTGCTGACAAGTGTTGATTGTTTACTGTTTGCCCCTCTATTCGTCTTAACGGTGTTTACAACAGAAGAGGTCGCAACAGCGGCCTCCCGGCTGACCTTTGAGGCAATCTCTGCAGATGTAACTGATGTCTTGTCTCGATAAGAGACATTTGAGCTACAGGTACCGAGGGTTGGTGTTCGGCTGCTTCATCCTTAATGCTAGATGTCAGGTCTAGTGGAAGTTGCCTAACCAGACGTTTCGAGTGATGCCTGACTTTCGTCGCCATGAATACTGTTCGACTCGTAGGTACAGTCAGTTTTCGCCCGGCGTTCTACCAAAGTTGGAGAAGGCAACGGAGATCGGGATGTTGCTGATTGCGGTTCAGGGGAATCGGATTTTGCAGCATTCCGTTGCTTAGAGGCCGCTACGCTTCCCTGACGCATACTCGCTTCCATTAAAGTAATCTTATTGTTTATCTCTGCGCGGCTTCTGCGGTTAACCGGTCGCACCTCTGAACTAGGATAAGCAAGCACTTAACGAATGGGATGGTGGAGCACGCAGTACAGTACCAAAGTGCATCTTGGGAGCTATTTCACTCTCGTACCTGTTGTTGGGACACATTTGCACATTTCGGATGATACCATTCCAAACACTGCTAGCAAGACAGAATTATTTTAACCAATCGGTGACATCCTCCTAACCCTCAAATACCTTTCGCTTGGAGCCTTTTCGGGTTAGCATTTCTGCCATTCAATGTGGTTTCGTTACCTGACCCAGTGGGTTGGTTGGCGTTCTGTACTTTTCCAGCTTTGAGAACGGCGCACATCGGTCAGGCCAGCGTGGTGGTTACAAGGTCAAATGAGCGGTCTGCATGGTTGCGCGGTCCGTGTGACGGGTTGTGCAGGCGCACTGGCTGACAAGGTCGTAAGGAATGGTAAGTGACTGGAAACTGCTAACTGAATCTGAACCCAGCGCTGAACACAGACTGAGAGATCACAAATTCTTTCACAGCTGCATTGAGAAACGCCGGATCGGAATAGCTTAGGCTTTTCGGACTGTTTTGAGAATTTTGTACCGAATGGTGTCATACAGTAAGGCAGTCGGCTCAATGTGATGGAGTTATCCGCTTACCCCTAGTCACGGATGCCAGTGGAAACGGTTAGTGTTGGCACGGACTTTAATCGTAGAAGATAATTCCACGTATGGTGGATCAATGTGTAGGGCTGGTAAAACCGGTTCAAATGAGCGTACGGTGACAACGCTGCGAGAAGACGGAGAGAGAAATATCCGAATGAATCAGAAGCACACACGTCACACGTTATCAAAGTGAGTCTATCACGTTCTAATATTGGTTACAGATGTTGGGAAGCGAAGCCAGTTCATCGACGTGAATGGCGCGATCTGATCAAGGAGGTTGTTGCCGAGGTGCAAGTAATAGCCCTCCTGCATGCAGTGAAGAAGCAATAGTTACGGAAGCGACAGTCGCCGACGGGTTGTACTCCATCGACAGCGAGCGCATGGTGCTGTAGCACATGTGGTCGCGAGTACTTGAGTCAGGCAGGCCTAGCTAGTCACGAACGAGGCCACTCGAGACCAGCATCGAAACGACGACGGGTCCTGCTGAGAAGGTAAACAGAACCGGCGCGGCGCTGGCAGGTACGCTGCATTCGATTTACTAACCGCGTGCTTGCGTGTTGTTTCTTAGTTTCAGGTGATGGGTTTGCTATGGTGTCTCGGTGCATTTTTTACCTCATCCTAACATTTACCTGAATAATCTTCTGATAACTTGCACATGTCGCTTAAACTAACTATAATTAACCGCAAACATTTTCGCGTTTGTGGCACTTTTCTAAAGAGATGTTTTCTGACATCTAGCACTACCGCACATATGCTCGTTTACCGTAGATGATTTATGTCAGCGTTTCCGTACGATCCGTTCGATATGTATTATTTGTTATTATCATTTCAAGTGATTGGTTGTTGTTTGACATCCCCGGTGTGGCTGCGCTTGATGTGCATGTTGACAAGGTGCCTACCTTCTATTACCCACTACCTTGTCTATACTGACTCCATGAGACAGTTAGTCGTTGCTGGAGGGGACGGGGTGCACGGCCCTCGTGGCCGTGCCAGGCTCGAAGAGTGGTTCCATGCACTCAGTGTGGAGCGGACTACGGTCCAGCCACCGCCTTGTGTGCGCAGGATTCCCCAAATACAGCGTGCTTGTGTTTACCTGTGAAGGAGTGTGGGCCAGCTCCGTTGATGAAACGTGGCTTCCATCCACATGCCTCCTGGTCTTATTCCTTCGGGTTTACACTGGATATAGGGTGTGTGGTTGGAGCTGTGGGTGGTGCAGCGTAAGTCACCCATGGTCCCTCTGTAGGCGCAGGCGTCCTGTGGCTAGCTACGGTGACAGACAAATCCGAAACCGGATGCCGCCAACCATATATATATATATATATATATATATATATATATATATATATATATATATATATATATATATATATATATGCATCGTGCAGTTAGATAGGTCACTCAGTGCAAATAGTCTGTCATTTTTAACCTGATATCAACAGGTCTTTATATTTAGCTGTGCGGTACGATAATCAAGACAGACGAACTTCTTAACGGAAAGTGTACCAACTATGTATTTTGCTCCGTTTTTTTGTCGTATTCGCGACTCCGTTTATAAAGCTTTATACACATCAGGCTGGACCTATTGTCAGTGCTGAATACTGCCTCTTGACTACGTCAGGTTCTAACAATGTGATACCAACTCTCCTAGTCGGATGAACGAACGAGACTCAGAATTATTTCTCGCACAGCACGGTAACTGACAAATCTCGAAGTCTGTGGGTTCTCGGAACTTAGCCGCGAAAGATTAATTCACGCGAGTCGAACGGGTTCCTAGACCGAACGTAAAGTTTCTATGCTCGATTTTCCAACCCCAGAAGAATCAAGAACAAGACAGACCTTTTTGTCACAGGCGCTTTTACTGGTCAAAGCTAAGGCGATTCTAGCGTTGCACAGCCTCATTTTTATATCACGAAACGGTGATGAAGGGGGTTTTCTCTTGGAAGGGTTTGCGTAATCAAACCCTGAAAGCAAGAAACATGGTTTTATGTAAATATGCAAAAGTTCGTAAACTGGGCAGGAATGTTGGAAAATAAATGTTGTTTGGATACAACAATGAGTGTTTGTTTGGAAACGAGACTGTTTCTGGGTGCAAAGTCTAAACGAATGTGAATGTTTCACGAGTTGGAAGGCTGATTGAACGTGTGCGTTTTGTCTGATCCGAGTACATGTGCACTTGTGTGAACCGGGTTTTCAGCCTTCTGTAATTTAAGCCTGTAATAATTGTAGGGACATTGGGTCCCCATAACAGTCAACTTTGCATATTCCTACCAAGCCGTGACAGTTTCTGTTATGGCATTTACACACTATATTGAAAAGCCGCACTGTCAACATGCCACTGTCTTTCTGACACCGTCACTGGCTTGCGGATGCTGCATTCCCTCAGCTGAACATGGTTTATACCGGTTTCCTCGCTGTACTTATTTCCCTTTACAGGCCGTACCACTACAAACCAAGTCTGGGGCCTGTGGATTCATCAAGGAACCAGTCGGCACTCATGGACACATGAAATGTGTTTTTGACAAACAGCTGCAAGCCTCAGATGTTGTACTCTTACCGTTGTATAAACGAATATTCCCCAAGTTTCTCTATCAGCCAATGGTTGTCAAAGTGTTTCAAGCATCGCATCAGCCGTTGTCACCTTTCACTTGCGATGTTGCACCGGTCACCTTGCAGCTGAAAAAGAAACAGTCATCATCATCAGCCGACAACCACGATGTCAGTGATGAAGCCAACGCTGACATCCGTATGGCTGATACCCGTCACCTGTACTAAAAGCTTCTCTCCAGCGATCATGTTTCGTTTCAACTTTGTCTTCATATCTCCCTGAGTCTTTTCGTTTTTCGTACAAATATTATTTTCCTGGGTTTTGAATATCCATACTGTCAAGCGCGAGGGGCTAGTTAGTTCGGTTTTCTGATTTCTGCGATTCGGCCTCGTTCTTTCCATTGCTTTAAAGTGAAAACCACGTTTAGCGTAAGTTAGCTTCCACCGCTCCTGCGTTGTGTCCGTTGGGATGCTATTGGATGCGAACTCTTCCATACTGGATTACGTTTTCGCATAAGAACCTGTCATCTTAGTCCATGCAACGCGCCGTGTTTGCGACCGACAATCTCCTCACATCCTAATATTGGGCTTTTCATATTCGTCTCAGCACGCTAAGTTGCAGCCGCGGCAGCTTTTATGCCACCGGATAGACGTAGGTGAAATATGACTCTGTGGTCGGTTGGGAATACCAACTCAATCACAGTACTGGGATCTTGCAGTCGGGTTTAGGAAAGACAGCAAACACCGATAGCGAAGGATTCCAAAATGCATGCGAGACCAGCCTGCTGCCCGATATGCATAACCGTACGTACATCGAAGCATACCAGACGTAACAACGGCCGAGGCCGGAGGACCACTGGACGATCTCAGTGGACGTCAACGTAGCCATCAGGAGTATAATCATGGAGATAGGAAGCAGCTGGTAACGGACAAAAGTGATTAGTACCAAATGAGCAAGTGCCGTGTGAAAGGGTGTGTTGGCTACAAAAGCAAAAGTAGTTGAGTGAGGTATGGAATATGAACGGTCCACGACTTTATCATTGGGTGTGATGCTACCCGGTTGCCCAAGCCGAATTGTCTTAAAGGACACCACCCCGGGTCTTTGCGTAAATAACGTATCTGCGACGCAGCTGGGCCAATTCAGGAAATCGCGCCCACTGGAGCCGGTGGCTGATTACTCATTCTATACGGCTTTTGTTTGGTAAGGCAATAAACAGGGGCCCAATGAGGTCAGCACACAATTGCTGGAGCCCAATGGTCCACCGAGATACAGTAAGGTCATCGACTTTATTTAGTGGGGAGTCACGTCCGCCACGTTGCAGTGTTGTTAGACATCTGTGGGTTTCCATAAGAACGCTAGTCAAATGAAAATTCATCGGAACACTGCTGTTGAACTATTGGCTGTAGCGGGATAATTCCGTACCACCAAGCTGGTGCCACGAGGAGGTAGTTTCGCAAGCCAGCCACATATCTGAAAAATTGCTTCGGGAAAAATTTAACCCCAAAACAGGGTCCCTACTGACAGATGATACGATTCGGGTATGAATTCTAATCGAGGCTTTCTCATCCCCAACTGTACGGATAAAAGCGCAGTGAGTTACTGGCACTTAAATTGGAATTCCCAGGGACCGGGGCAAATGAACTTCAGTAGCCAATCAGCATTATCATCACACAGTAGCTACAGATGAGGAACATAATACCATAATACAAAAACATGATATATGAAAAATTAGATACAGAACATTAGCGAATACAAAAACCAACAGGTACTATACTGCTTGGTAATATATTGAGCTGCAAGACTGAAATTGTGTTTGGAAGGGAAGATAAGCGGGATGAGGAGAGACAAAGAAGCTCAATCCCAGTTATGTCAAAAGGTGTTTCCAGCGAGACGTGTTCACTGTCCTTCGGACTCCATCCCGGCATTCGGGAGGTACCAGCCGACGCCAAGTTCGAAGTGAGGGCTTTCATTTCTCTTGATTAAGTTATCACTTGGCCTCCGCTCCTTTTCTTCTATCCACAACCCGGTCGAGCACGATGCAGGAGTCGGTTTGCTGGCATGCACAATGCATGTCCCAGCCATCGGAGCCTGGTGCGTGATATAACGGTGCTGAGCGGTTCACTAGCGCTTCATGCACCAAATACCAGATGTCGCTGTGTTTCCACCAGATGTGAACTATGCTGAGAAGGCAGCGATGTGCTAACATAATTAGGCTCAGTCTGTCGACTTGATGTACCAGGGTTCGCAACCGTAAAGGAGTGTTGAACGGACGGGTGGCCTTCTCCGACAGAGTGACGTCTTGTCGGCGCCAGACACATCAGAGATGGGCAAAACTGTCTTGAGCTTTTGCCATGACGGTTCGTTATCCTCCATTCAGCTGATGCTAATACGACTGCCTAGATACTTGAATTACTCGATGAGTTATCTCAGATCACACACAAGGGTCAGCGCATGGGTAGGTCCGTGTTTTTGCACTTCGATGGTGCAAAGCCTACTCTGAAATGACCTACATCCAATGCTAGCTTGTCCAGTGCTGTTTGGCACGTTTGTGAGCTGTCACAGATTGGGACAATCTCACCGGCATACTCAAAGTCAGAAAACTGATCACATGGGAGCAGATCCACAGCTATGTTGTGTCCAGTGGATGCAGTTTCTATGAATTCATAAATAAACGGTTTATTCCTCGACGGTACAAGCACACAGTCCGACTGTGGCCTGATCAGTCTGTACGACGTGATCGCATAGAATATTTAGTTGTGCACGATCCGTATAACGAATCCCATGAATGGAGAAGTTAAAAACATCCTTGTCTGACCGCTGGAGATATTGTGGGATGGAGACAGTTGACGTAAGCCCTCACTCTGCCCGTACTGCGCTCGGATAACGCTTAAATATTTTTTCAAGCACAATCTTATATAGCACACCGATCAACCGAATCGAAGGCACGTTTGATGTCGAAGAACACGACTACAGTGTCCCACCGGTAAATATGGTGGTGCCCCAAAAAATTGACGTAATGTGAAGATGTGAACAATACAGCCTCAATTTCGACGAAAGCCGATCTGTTTCTCACGAATCTGGTTTTCACTAGTGCCAACAGGTCTTAGGAACAACAGAAAGTAGCTTAGAAGTAGTTGTAATCATACTGGTCCCTCTATGATGGCCGCATCCCGGACGTGAGCCCCCTTTGAAAATTGGGGCTATAACGGGGCGGCGACAGACTCCATCTTCACTAGCATGTGGTGCAATTTATCCATAAGAGTAAGTTCCATTGGTGGCCAAACTTTATATACATTACATGCGGCACATTAGCTGAGGTATGTTTCCCACTTCGCTAACGTGTGTCGATGATGATGGTGATTAATCACTAAGGGTCAGATACCAGTTCCGGTCATAAATGCCAGCAGAAACAACATCCGCTGGGATCCAGTGTCAAGAGGAGTGAATATGTTAATTTTACCGTAAGCTTTTCGTTGCCAGTAGGCGTAACATCAGCGTGTTACCGTGTGGCATCCAGTTAGGCTACTCAGTTGACTTACTTGGCATAAGTATTGAATTATCGATTAACGCCCTCGGATCATTTGACCATTACACCAAGGCCTTATCAATCCGAAGTTAGAAGTATTGGAATAGTCTGCAACCAAATGAAAACCGGAAGTATCATAAGTCTCTCTGACCTGCTTCAGCCTGACCTTGACCGCCTCTCCATGTGGTCTGTACATTTCGACCTTTCGATAAACCCGGTCAAGTCATTAGACTGGGTAAGAGTGCACACAGTCGGACGTACACTGTGGCCGGTCAACCGTTGCATTCCTCGCTTTTCCTGGGACTTTTGTGTACTCACGCTGCAGCGTAAAGGATATATATATATATATATATATATATATATATATATATATATATATATATATATATATATCCATTCAACATGGCCAATAGCACAATTGGCATATTGCCACAACTCTTGGGAAACACAATAAATCAACGAAGAGAGGGAAAGAATATAAACCAGTGTTCATGGGAATAGAGTCACAAGTCCGCCGTTGCGCAGGGTTTCTTGCCATATCCGAAAATGTTTCCGGCTATGTGTGTTATTGATCCTTCACATTCCAGCCAGAGGAAATAGAGAGCGCCCGACCGCGGCCAAATGTGAGGTCAGCGGTTTCGTACTTTTGGCCCAAGTCATTCGCTAGCCACCTTGTCTTTGCTTCCAGCCGACTTTTGTGCACGGTGAGGCAAACCAACAGTAGCCATGCGAAGCACGTGCCCAAGCCACCGAAATCTGCGCGGAGAAGTTATACTGCTCAGTGCCCAGCAAAGTCTGAGTGATCTGAAAAATCCTCCATCGAACATCCTCATTACTAGTGCGATGTTGCCATCGTACACCAGCAATGCTCCGAGGGCAGCGGTGATCAAAAACCGGCAGCCTCACAATATTATTTGCGCGAACAGGCAAGTCTCGTGGCCATAGAGCAGAACCGGTCTCACTGTGACATTGTAAGCCCGGTCCATCAGAGAGGGACTCAGATTACCTCGACGCCAGAGATTAGAAAAAACAACCCGAGCCTTAGAGACACGCAAAGTGATTTCATCCGTTAAAACCATTAGCGCTGAGGCAGGTTCCGAAGTAAACGGACTTGTCTACCACTTCCAATAAATGATCTGAAAGAGTAAGGATAGGAGCAGTGTCTAGCCAGTCCTACAACTCGATAGTGCGAAGATCATTCCAAACTGGGAAACAGACATCTTCAACCGGCAGAGGACATTTTGGGCGGCCTGTGAGGAATCGCAAATTACGGCGATGTCGTCTGCGTACTCCAAATCCCGAAGTCGGTCCGCCGGGAACAGCTTGACGCCGCTGGGTTCGCAGTTCTCCAGAATTCCGTCCATAGCGAAATTGAACAAGAAGGGGATGCTGAGCAACCCTGTCTCACGTCACTGATGATACTAAAGGGAGGCGAAAGTCCGCCGTACATCCGCACTCGGCCCGAGGTTTGAGAGTAGATGGCTTGAAGTATGGTGACAATTCTCGGGCACTCCCCTCCTCAGTAGACAAGTCCAGAGAGAAGCTCGGTCAGCTGAGTCAAATGCGGCTCGTGTCTAAGAAGACAACGATCGTTGGCCGGCCTATTCGTGTGTGGACAACACGAATAGGTTTTACTAAAGCGGGATTTGTATGCTCCGAACGCTCAAACGCAGCCTCAGTACTTGGACCGGAGAGATTACC